TGTCAATTGGCCACAGTTGACTTTTTCCCCAATACAGTTGATTTCTAGGTCAACTGTCCAATTGACTGGGCAAAGATTGGAATCAAGACTTGAAACTTGGCATGGATAAACTTGTGAGTCCAACATGAAGCATGAAAGTCACTTTGGGAATTTTAGGTCAAAAAATCTTTGTGCAAACTCAAACCCTAATTTGGGTCAACAATGCAAGGAGGGGTCTCGAGCAGAGCAAACCCTAACTTGATCTTGAGCTCCAAGAGTCTTGTGGTGAGGAAATGTTGATGAAAAGGGAGGGCAAATTTTGGGGTACAACAATATCATTTTTGGATCCACTAAACCTTCTCTGGGAAGAGAATTTGCTAAGTGCATGCAGGAAGAGTTTGAGATGAGCTTAATGGGGGAACTCAAATTCTTTCTGGGCATTCAGATAAACCAAACTCCAGAAAGAACTTACATTCATCAGAGCAAATATGTCAGAGAACTTCTGAAGAAATTTAACCTCTCAGAATGTAAGCCCTCAAAGACTCCAATGCATCCCACGTGCATTTGGAAAAGGAAGAGGTAAGTAAAAAGGTAGAACAAAAAATCTACAGAGGTATGATTGGATCTCTGCTTTATCTGACGGCTTCAAGGCATGATATTTTATTCAGTGTTTGCTTATGTGCTAGATTCCAATCAGATCCTAGAGAATCTCACTTAACAGCAGTTAAGCGAATTTTCAAGTATCTGAAAGGTACTACTAATCTGGGTTTGTTTTATAGAAAATCCTTCACCCCAAACATTTGAGGATTTTGACATAGAGTTTGATCCATCTGTAACTCTTGGAAATTTCTTGAATGAACCTCACTCCCCCAATCCAAATCCAAATCCAGAATAACATCAACTAGAACTTGCTAGAGTTCTATCTGATATTGAACTGTTTGATCAAGACTTTTCTTCACCACTCCCAGAAAATCCAAACACTCAACCTCAACAACCAGAAAATCCATAACCACACTCTCCTCAACCAGAAAATCCATAACCGCACTCTCCTCAACCAGAAAATCCACAACCACACTCTCCTCAACTAAAACATCAAAACCTCAACTCACCCCAACCAGAAAATGAAAACCCTCTCACTCCCCAATCTGAAAACCCATCTTCTGAAATACCTGAACCAGAAATTCAACACGCTACCGTAAACCAATCAGAAGACTCCCTTTCAGACTCTGATACCACTACCCCAATTCCTGGGATAACAAAACCTCTTACGGTTCGTTTACCTCTCTCCATTCATGATATTCCAAAAATCCCTTCACCATATGAATCTACACCACCAAACACCCCTCACTCACCAATCCTGATTTCTGACTCTTCCACTCCATCACCTATCAATCGTCCAGCTGACCAACTCAGACTTGTCATTGATCTACAAGTGTTGGACCAACTTTCTTCCACCTTAAACAAAATTGCCACTCCCAAACCTAAACCAGCCTCAACCAAATTAGATGTTGGTAAGAATATGTTGATTTTTGAAACAGAAATACAGGAATGGATTACTTCTTTGAAGCAAGCAAGTCAGGAGATTTCTAATCCTGCTGCTTCTGATTCTCTATGGGAAAGATTCAGAAAATGGCTCAACTCTGAAACCCAGAAGCTGAAAGAATTGAGCTATGAAAGGGCTCAGTAGAACTTTATTGATCATCTGAAAGCCTTCCAAGATCAAGTTCTGAGCCATTGGTACAAGAAAGAAATTCTTCCACTGGATAATGCTCCCTGAAAAGAGCACCAACCTTCAGAAGTCACTAAACCAGATTCTGATAGTCACCCTCTGACTACTGCTCCAGAAAAGATGATTGCAACAGAAGAAGTTGTTCAATCAGACGAGGCTGTAGACTGTTCAGAACGACATGTAATCCCTGAAGATACACCAGCTTCGTCTCTAGTCATGCAAACTCTGGAAGAGTTGAAGAAGGAGAATGCCTTAATCCATGCCAGACTGGATAAGCAAGAGGACACAAACAAAGAGATCAAGGATATATTGGATAAACAAGAAGATACAACAAAAGAAATCAAAGACATTCTGGGAAAGCAGAGAGAATCAAGCACTCAGATTAATATCTTGTTGGAAGCGTTGTTCACACGTCTTCCCCCTCCTTCTTAGATTTTCTTTAAATGTTTATCTGTATTTTTATTTTTCATCTTATCCTCCTTGTTCCTGAAAATTTTCATTGCATTTTGTTTTCAATATAAATCATCTTTTTGACTCTGATTATATTGCTTTTTGATACCTGACAAAAAGGGAGAGAAAGTAAGATATTTTCAATAACAGTTTACCGGGACATAGTCTCAAACATTCTGAATATCTTAACCTCTATGTTTTTCTGAAAAGCTTGAACAAGAACATATTCTGATAAAGACAGAAGGAGATGCATCAAAAGCTCTGACGAGAAGGAACTTCAGGGAAGTAACTCATCTCTATCTGAGTAATCAACTCAGGGGGAGAATCTCTTAAAGCTTTTTGTTCTATATTTTTCATTGAAAATCCTAGTTTTTGTCATCATCAAAAAAGGGGGAGATTGTTAGAACACATTTTGATTCTACAACCCTTAATTAGAATTTTGATGATAACAAACACAAAGAACAAATATGCACTCTAAATTTGTGTTATTTTGTATGCAGAAGTTCTGACTGAAACAACATCATAAATTAAGCTACAAAAGTTTTCAAGCTGAGGTAATCAGAATCTGCGCTGAAGAATGATGATCAGAATCTGCACTGAAGTGAAGAATACTCTGATTCTGAAAAGAAGTTTAATCTACCATCATATCCTCACATCTCTGAGTCATCAATGTTCTGAAGAAATTGCAGCATGCAAGATTCTAAGTTCTGAAGCGTTACTTTTCAATCAAGACAACATCATATGCAACGACTTCATTCAGACAAGAATCTTCTCAATATGGAAACAACATTGAATGTCCATTATCACGCTTTATGTTGGACAAGATTTCCATGCCTATATAAACAAGCTTAGAGGAGAAATTGTTCACGATTTTGACGACTACTGTAATATACCTCTCAAACGCTGCAATCTTACATATTCATATATACGCTCAAAATTGTGTAAAATATCACAATTTTGATACAGTTTTTGTAAGGAAAAACAACAGTACACAGTATATTATTTCATTGTAATTAAGCTAGTTTTTCTTGAGATAAACCGGGTTGTGGTTGTACTCAAGAAGACTTTGGCAGTTGTCAAAGTTGTGTCGTAATCAGTTTTGATTAGTGAATTAAGTCCTCGTTGGAGAGAGGCGAAATCACCTTGGCGGATGGACTGGAGTAGTTTGAGATCAAACGAACCAGGATAAAAATATTGTGTCTACTGCGCTTTTGATTTTAAGTTTCAATTCAACCCCCCCCCCTTCTTGTGTTTTTCACTTCTTCACATCGATACACACACGATCAACAACAGATAATACACAAAGAAAATGTAGAAGATCGACACGAGGAGAAGAGGAATTTGAAGCAGAAACAAGTAGAGGGTAAGAATAATTACATGTATCATCTTCTAGTTTCCTGCTCGAACAAATACACGACGAAGAGGAGGGATGAGCGGAGCTTCAAAGCCGGGAAAAGTTTGTGAATCAGAAACAAATTTCACGGCAAAGATGGAGATACAATGATAGAACGGAGAAGATCAAATATCATCGCTCATTTCTGGAAGTTGGGATCGAAGAGATGTTACACACATTTTTGAATCAAGATTGTGATGGAAAGAGAAAAGTATGCAAGTAAATGGTGGTGCATAGGTTTGGAAAATGAGTGGCAGTGTGATGCGGTGGAAATAAAGTGGAATGTTGAAGAGTGAAGAAAAATGGGTTTGGAAATGATGTTATACCCTGTGGCGACGCATGGTGAGGAGAGAATTTCCAGAAGCATCCATAAGAACAAGCTCATGGGGGTGGAAGGTTGAGTTGCAGAGGAAAAAATGAGGAAAATGATGGATTTTATGAAGAGAAAGAAACATATGCATATATGACCAGTCCATGGTGGCATCAGAGTCCCAGTCAGCAAACAGATATTGCCACGTCTGCATTTCAAATGGAATCTTGGGCTAAAAGGTTTTTGGTTATGGAATCTATGTTTGTTGAGGGGCGAAAATATTTTTTTTTAAAAAGGGGGTAAATCAAAACTCGTTACTATTACAGGGAGTAAAGTGTATTTAACCCTAAAGAAAATAAGGATTATAATATTCACTTAAATTTTATAAATAATGATGCAAACTATGACTATTTATATACAATCCTAATTGGATTTGGGCTTACCAACTTGGATTATATTTGATATTATTTCTAATATCTCAACTTATCTAACTTGGGTTATATTTGATATTATATCTAATATCTCAACAAATATTTGATGTCAGAACACTCGATAACCAAACTATGAACTATATTAACCAATTTATAATACTCAATTAATCAACTTTATTTTATAACTTAAAACTAATTTTTTATGTCAGCATATATATTAATCAAACTCAAAAATGTATTAACCAAGTTTTGATATTTCATTAACTAAAATATTTTTAAAGAAAAATATATCAAAAAATTAGAATAATAAAAAAAACACTGTTGTAAGAATATGATTTCATAATATGATTTCTCAATATATAAAAATTGAATAACATTTTTTTCCATCACGTAGAAATGAAATGCTATATTACATGCAAAAAATTTCATGCCTACTCTTAGGAACATGATAATGATAATAGTCCCAAGACATTGTTGTATTCCTAATTCATCTTTCCATTTCCACAAACACCATACCAAACCTTCACTCTCAAGCCAAACTCCACTAAACAATGTTGAGCCTTTTCTCAATTCAACCACACAAATTCCACTCTGAAACAAAATTAGGTAATGCCTCATTCTTTATAACACCATTCACATTTCACACACTCAATCATAACTCATAGCTTCATTCAAATATTGCAGTACCATTTTCTTCTCTAAAAATCAATGGCTGCTAACTCCAACTCCAAAATGCCACAAAACACCATCACTCACCCTCCTTGGTATTCACCAAAAACTGGAATTTACAATAGTATTCATTCTCCCAGGAACCTTCCAACCGACCCTTTTCTCGACGTTGTTTCCTTCATTTTTTCTCACCCTCATGATGGGGTTTTGGCTCTTATTGATTCTTCATCTGGGTCTTCCATTTCTTACTCAAACTTGTTTCCTTTAGTCAAATCAATGGCTTCTGGTCTTCACAAAATGGGTGTTTCACAGGGTGATGTTGTTTTGCTTTTACTTCCCAACTCAATTTACTATCCCATTATACAATTAGGTGTTATGTATCTAGGTGCTGTTGTTACACCATTGAATCCTGTCAGTAGTGTTGCTGAAATTCGTAAGCAGGTTAATGAGTGTGGTGTGAGTTTTGCTTTTACTATACCCGAAAATTTTAAGAAACTAGAGCCATTCAACATTCCAAATATTATTGTGCCAGAAAATGAAAAGGATTTGAAGTATGATTGTTTCTCTTGTTTCTTTAACCTTATTAATAGTAACTTTGATCTTCCTCAAAGGCCAGTTATTAAACAAGAAGACACTGCTGGTATATTGTATTCTTCTGGTACTACAGGTGTTAGCAAAGGAGTTGTTTTAACGCATAGAAATTTAATTGCAATGGTTGAACTATTTGCGAGGTTTCAAGCTTCTTCTTCTTCTTCCAAAAATGTGTTTCTAGCTGCTTTGCCAATGTTTCATATATTTGGTTTATCGCTCTTTACTACCGGATTACTGTCGTTGGGTTCTACAGTTGTTGTAATGAATAAATTTCAAATTGACGAGGCTATTAGGGTGATTGATAAATACAATGTTACACACTTTGATGTTGTTCCACCCATGTTAGTGACATTGACAGAAAAGGCGAAGCGGGTTAATGGAAGTAAGTTGCTGAGTTTGAGACGTGTTTTATGCGGTGCCGCGCCTTTAACCACAACAATTATAAATGAATTTGTCCAAGTTTTCCCTAATGTTGATTTAATACAGGTAAAGTACATCAGAATAAACTAGTCTTATTCTCTTTATTGTAAGGATGTGCAACCTTAAAATTGTTTCCTTTTAGGCTTATGGAATGACTGAGTCTGCTGCAGTAGGAAGTTGCTGCTTCGATAGTGACAAGTTTCACAACTATTCTTCAGTAGGATTGTTAGCTCCAAACATGGAGGCAAAAGTGGTAGACATGAACAATGGTGCACTTTTGCCCCCAGGAAGAAGTGGCGGGCTTTGGTTGCGAGGGCCTTCGATTACGAAAGGTGATAAATCTTCATTTTTTTTGTAAATATATACAAACAAAGATATTAAAAAGGACATCATGCTAATATAAATGCTTTGTCTATAGAAATCAATCCTAACCTATATTTGCATGAGATGGATTCAATGTCTTCAGCTGTTTTGTTGCTAAAATTGTACCTTTTCTGCATGTCTTGTTTGTATTCCAATTGAAACTAGTAATCATACTTTATTTCTTTTATTTCTTAGGATATTTAAATAACGAAGAAGCTACGATGGCATCAATTGATAAAGATGGTTGGCTTAATACCGGAGATATTGTTTATTTTGATGAGAATGGATATTTGTATTTATGTGATCGTTTGAAAGACATGATCAAATACAAGGGCTTTCAGGTATCAAAATTTTTGGTTTATTAAAATTTTATATTACAGTTTATTTTTTCTCAACTTGTATTGTATTGTATGCATGTTGTTGTGTATGACACACACATGTTTCTGTTACAGATTGCTCCTGCTGATTTAGAAGCTGTGTTAATTTTGCATCCTGAAATAGTTGATGTCGCTGTTACAGGGTAAGTATATATATATATATATATATATATATATATATATATATATATATATATATATATATATATATATATATATATATATATATATATATATGAACACTTCATATATTTTGTTTAAAGTGCGTCTTTGGACATTAAAATATAACCTCGAGCTTACATGATTTTTCAAATTAGTGTCAAGGATGAAGAAGCTGGGGAGATTCCGGTAGCATTTGTGGTCAAGAAGGCTGGAAGTGTACTTTCCACAAAGAATGTTATAGACCATGTTGCTGAGCAGGTTATTATCCTGTCTTACTTGAATTGATATAGTGACTATTAGTATTGAAATGATTTTCACATGTTTTCTTCTCATAGGTTACTCCATACAAGAAAGTTCGGAAAGTGGTCTTCATCGACAAGATACCGAGGTCTGTGACTGGGAAGATCCTTCGAAGGCAACTCAGGAATGAATTGCCTTCTAATCTCTAAAGATGATGCATAGAAGGTCATCATAGCATGAAATTGGTTGGTGCATCCATTATTTGTGTTATTAACGGAATAAAGAACAATGTACCCTAATAATAAGTTAAAAATATTTTAACACCCTCTACTCGTAAGTCATACACTCAATCACTGTACTTTGTGTTTAAATTTGTATATTTATTAATAATATTTTAATAATATATTACGTTATTACATTATTATATATAAAATAATTTTTAATATTTGTTATATATTTACCTTTCATCTACTTCAATGTTAATAACTATCAGCTAAATTTAAAAACAAGCACCCACCAAATTCAAAAACAAGAACAAACAAATTAAAAACTACCGGCCAAAGACACATGAACATCCTTAAGCTGTTGTCCAGCGCTTAAAGCTTCATATTCCATTGAATCCTTCTTTCTAAAATTAATAAAGACCTTTGCTACAAGATGAGACAGCATTGAACACAAATTTTTCAACCAAGAAGGAATACTATCGAGATAATATGAATAATGTTTTGCATCTTTTCTTTCAATTTAGTCAACTATACCAAACAATCACATAGACAACGTTTTTTATTTGCCATAGACCGCGCTTTAAAGCACTGCCTAAACCAGCGCTGTTATAAGTAAATGCAGCGCTTTGGATTAATGTAAAAGCGCTGCTATATATCTTCTTTAGACGGCGCTTTTACTTTAAAAGCGCTTTCCAATGCACCCCTTTAGCAGCATTTTCTCTTTAGAAAGCGCCTTGGTAAGTACCCCTTTAACAGCACTTTTTCTTTAGACATCGCTTTAGTAGTATTTTTTATCAATTTAATTTATAGCTTTAATTTTTTAACTTATAGCAGCGCTTCCTGAAATGAGTGCTGTCTATGGTGCGTTGTTATTTTTAATTTCTGGTGTAGTTTCCTGAATAAAATGAGAAATTTTCAAAAGCTCTGTGAGAGAAATACCGCATCAGTTATCAAGCCTCACATTGATGCAATCTCCTTTTTCCACTAGCCAAGCCGAATTTTGTTCAACCACCAGAATAATAGCTTTGTTGCTAGTCCATAAAGAAGAAGAAATATGATATCTAATTTGTCTAACATTTTTGTAATTTCTTGATCTAAGAACTTGTGCCTAGTCCTCAATAGCAATATGAATTGCTTGTAATTAACCACTAATTATGTGTGTGAATCTATGTAGCTGGATTTAGCTCAACAGAAAACTATCCTAATGTTCTACATTTGGTTATCCTTTTCCTCTTTATTTTCAGTGTGAACATATGCATCAAGTTCCAACCTTGGACCTAGTTAGCGTGAGATTGTCTTTAGATATTCATCAGTTCCAATCTTGGACTTGGTTCCATAATTGATCTTAGGAGATGTTTTCCATTGAATTAACTAAAATTTGAGGAAGTTATTGAACAAAAAAGATCCAGGAGATAAATGAAAGTACCTGGAACATGGAATATTAGTTTCAAATTTGTCAATTTGGTGAAGAAGATTAATTGATTTCGATATTAATTAATTTTGAGATAATTATTTGTAACAACAAAAACACATGACACAGTGGTTGGATGTTTGACAAATGATGGAAGGCTCCTGGGTTTGAATCCTTTGAGGGACATTTTTTTGAGATTTTTTCATATGAATTTTAAAGAATATTGACATGTCACTAATTAAATAAAAATAAAAGTAAAAAAAATTCACATGAGCGTCACATATGAAAACTCCAATGCACACTAAATCAAATAGTACAAAAAAGGTGTCTGGAAAATGAATCTATATTTTATAAGGGGGGAATCAAAAAAAAATAATTATTTAGAAGACATTTAACCTAATATTTTATTATGTATATCTTTTTATTTACTAATAAATAAGAGGGAGTAAAACTCCAAAAACCAGAAGAAAAAAAGTGCTGTATAGTAAGAGTTCATGTATGTGCACTAGAGAAATCACTTTTGAATTTTAGAAGTATGCAGATACACAAGAAATGTAATATGTAAGATGTTAAAATTATAATGACAATAATATTAGTTGTGCCTCTTTTGTCATACGTTTCAATAGATTTTGGAATTCAATTATTTTGATTCAAGATTTTTGGTGGTGAATGGTGGTTTGACTCGAAAATCATGGTTTGATTCTATTTAAAAAATGCTAAATAAAACAAATTATTGAATACTAACACATTATATTATACGGTTATGATTTTTAAATATTTTTTATTTCTTTCTTAATGTGTGCAAGATATATATGAGACCATTACTTTCTTGACATTGTTATAGGGTAGAAATGTCAAACTCTATATGTGAATAGCATGACTCATTAGAAAAACATCAACAATCCTTAAATATAAATGGAAAAATTAATCCTCATACTTAGGCGTGGTGATTATGGATCTTAGACATAGTCTATATAGGTCTAAAAATTTCTTCATTGTTTCATAACTAACATAAATTTAAATTTCAAATTAAGTTAACATAAACTCAATTGAAACAAACAAAAATCTTTTCATCTCAACCATTGATTCATTACTAACAACACATGGATTGCAAATAATTGAATCCCAACCTTTGATCAATAATCTTTCTCATTCGGGTCACTCTCAATTTTATTCTCTAAGTTTCAACCAATTCCCTCCAAAACTCAACTGAATTCACACTCATTCATTCCCTAATTTTCACTCAACTCTCTCATATTTAAACCATCATTCTCCCTAATTGAACACACACAACATCACCCAGAAATTCTGCCAAATTGGGTAAACTTCAACGTGAATTTGCTCAGCTTTTGTTGATTGTAGTAGAATTTGAACGTAATTTGAATTGCTTACTGTATTTGCTCACACACGTCACTTGCACTGTAACTTTAATTAGTTCAAATTGCACTTGTACAAAAGACACCCATGAGTGAAGGTACTCTATGTTTTTTTGACATCAATACCATAAACAAAACTCATAATATTGATAAACAGAACAAACACAAATGATAGACGGACCATTTTTTTTCAAATCGAGAATCGTGTGTGACTGATTATGGATTTTGTTTTGCTTTTACGTATTTCTGTGAAGATCAAACCGATTAACCTTAAATGTCTTTTTTTCATAGTGAGAACTGTCGCGGAGGAAAAAATTGAGATTTAGATATTGATTAACTTAACTCGAAAAAATAAGGGTCGCCACCAAATTTAATTGTTTCCAAAGGAAAGAGAAAATATCGAGAAAACTCATCACAAAAAATAAAACAAAAGAGAGATATGAATATATGGATCAATTATGGAAAGAGAATGAATTAGCACTCATCACATCTAAGGTACTCGATAAGAACCTCTTGAAAATATGTGTTATGCTAAAACCGAGTTGTTCGCAAAAAGATTGGGGTGATGAAAAAATAAGTTTTTTATTATTTTTACTCGTCGAGACTTCATGAGTCATGTGCCTACATATCCTTATAGTGCAATAAGAAAATCAGAGCCTCGTAGTTCATGGTAAAAATAACCACGAAGGTTTGTTGATTGATTTTAAATTGAAAAGACATGTCATCGTATTCGAGTGGAAAAACACAACTTACTACCACAAGTATGAGGAAGTGAGTATTTGCATCATCTTGATATGAAGAACTTTTACTTGAACTTTCTTACAAGCATATCTCAACATTAAAGAGGAAAATTTCAATCACTTCACAACATATTGTATATGTATAGTGGTTTGCATCACAACTAGAATAGACTAATATCCAATCTTTCAAAAAAGGTTTTAAAAAAAGTGCTCAAAGAAAGGCACAAAAGTAAATTTGACGAGGTTTGTCTTTTTTAGAAGTTATTAAAAGAGTTTGAATATGCTTAAGTGTTTTAGCATTTATTAAGAAATAATATTTCCAGGATCACTTGACAAGGTCAAAGTTTATTAAGAAAATGTTTGAAATTTGAAATAAGAAGTTTTGAAAATAGGGAGAAGTTTTGAAAATTGAAGAAGTTGGTAGGAGATGAAGAGACTATCCTAAAGCACAAAGTAAATGACATGAAATAAAAGGTCTCATTATAAGGTAGCCCAAGAGAAAACCTTTCTGTGTGCAAGTGTATTAACCACAAGATGGAGCAAACATTTAACATTGATCAAAATGAATATTTCTTTACCTTTGGATTTAGCCACAAGATAAGCAAATAACATGAGCAAACACATAAGCAGATGAACACTAAGAACAAGAAATGGAAGAAGATGAACACCAAAAGATCCATATGAAAGCCAAGGTCACAAAACCACAAAGATAATTCCAAGTCTTCAAGCAAATATCAAAGTTTCTCAGAATAGGTCCATGTCTTGAATTAAAGTTCAAAGGTACAAATGAATCACAAATTCTCATATACACTCCTCCAAGAAAATGAAAGCACTAATTCCTAAGGTCCAAAATCCAAAATACTCCTCAAGCAAGGGATAGTAACACATAGTCCACAAGATCAGATAAAAGTTTTTTAGGGGTTTAGCCATTTTATTAATGTTTTTTTGTTCTTTTGAAGCAATAAAGCAATAGTAGCAAAAATATAAAGCATAAAGTAAAAGGAAAAAATAAAAAAAAATGACAAGAATGTAAATGCTTTGAATGTAAATGACTTAAATATAAAGAGCATAAAAGTAAATGTTAGATGTTAGTATAATTAATATGATCAATGTTAGTATTAATGAGGAATTAACCTAGTCGAGACAATTTAGCGCTATGATAAGCAATCAAATGTGGACTTATATAGAAGTCACACCCTTGTTAGGCTGACCAATTGCAATTTATGTGTTAATCATGTTAGAGAGATGATACAAAATCCTCCTCCTAAAATAATGCAACACAATGATCAAAACAAAAACAAAAAGAAGGAGATGGAGAAGGAGAGATGATCAAATACAATGAGATGAACAAGGGATCATCTATTCTTTCAAGGTCACAATATAATGTGATAAACTTATCATTAATCTAAAGTACCAAAAATAATTAAATGATCATTTAAACTAGCGGGAAACTTGTGC